TTACCTGAGCTAGAAGCAAGTGACGAAGGTGGTATTGATGTATCTGATGTGGGATTGGTATTTCGTTGAAGCGCGTTGACTCAGGGAACTGTGAACTCATTGTAATCATAATTTTTGATAATATAAGTGACGGGTCTTGGTCCTATTCTCATCTACCTTTGTCTCGTGTGTGGCAACTGTGTCCATTGAGTGTGAAGTCGATGTTTGATGTATGCACATCTGCGTGAGTTGGTCCCCAGGACCCATGCACTGTTCAAACTATACCCCTTCAGTTTTCCATTTGAGGGTTTAAATCTTCATTCTTTGGGGTTTATTTCATTGGCTGCTTAGTTCGACATTTTTAACTTCAAAATATTGCCTATAATTCTTGGCTTAGTATGGCTTCCGAACTTTTCGGCTTTCGCCTTTTCTACTGCAAACTTTGAGATTGTACTTTTTCGTTTTGAATTTGTATAATAATATTAATTATAATATAGCAAGAATTCGATAGGGATTGATTGACACTTGAGAATCCCAACTGAGCTTTTTTTTCCTGTTTTTCGTTTTTTTGCTATGATCTTCCCGCTGTCCAGCTTGCCGAGGCATCGGAGAAAGAAATCGTGAATGCACTTGAGGGGGCAGATGTTGTGTTCATCACAGCAGGCATGGGCGGGGGTACAGGAGGGCCAGCAGCACCGGTAGTGGCTGGAATTGCAAAAAGCATGGGAGCATTGACGGTGTGTTTGCCAGCCCAACTAAAAATCTGATGTGAATGATTGCATTCTCTCAAAGTCTGAAAAGACTTGCTTATATAGTCTCTGTCTCTTTGTGTCACTTTCAGAGCCCATGAGTGGAGCTTTGTATGCCTTTTTCACATTTAGGGCCTACTACAGGAACCTTGTGTGCCAGTCAGTTTCCATAACTGGACCTCTGTGTGTGTGTGTGTGTGTGTGTGTGTGAGAGAGAGAGAGAGAGAGAGAGATAGAGAGAGAGTGTGTGTGTGTAAGAGAGAGAGAGAGAGAGAGGGGTGTGTGTGTRTGWGAGAGAGAGAGGTGTGTGTGTGTAAGAGAGAGAGAGAGAGAGAGATTTGTCCCGAATACCGTGAGGTGACTTCTTGCATACAATTCGTTTGTCGTGGATTTGCGCAACTGCAATTTTATGGGCGGCCCTCTTGTAATGTCTGATACCAACAAGTGGGGTTTCTGAAGGAAAATGGAAGTTTTGATTTCCACTTGACTGTCACACCGACCTTCTTGCAGTGCAGCCATAGGCCCGAGCCCAAAAGCAAAGCACCCTGTTCCCGTTCCTTATGCAAGAGAACGCACTAGTGGACCTCGAATTCAAAGTGGCAGCTACGACCTTTGCTGTGCAGGACTGGTCCCATAATCTCAGTTTGGAAATGATTGTGGGCAATGTGGGGCAATCTTCACTGTGCCCTCGCCTGGGCGCATCATAGAGCAATCGTGACGACAGAAGGATGGAAGAAAGTGTACATGGAAAGGAAGAAAAAACGGTGCACTGTAGCAGTGTGCGTCTTATCTGCTGCTGCTATTACTAACCCTTTACAGGATAGGGCACATAGTCCTGCTCAGGTTGGTTTGGGGTGTCACACTTCTGGACCTCTTAGTACTGATATTACGTTTTGACTGGTATGGCGTTTTGGATCGTTCCTTTGGAACCAACCCCCCCCCCCCCCCCCCCTGCGGAGCTGTCGTTTCTCAGCCCTGCTTAATTCTGGGCACCTTGGTGCTCTCCACAGTTCCCTGTGGGTACAGTTTTTTTTTTTTGGTCGAGAATCTCAAGATTTACAAGCTTATATCAGTCGTCCCTGATCTTGGTGGATCTATTTGTCCAGTTTTCCTGTTTCCTGTTCTCCCCCTCCCTCCCCCCCTCCCCCCTTTTTGAGAGATGGTTAGCTCCATACGGCGTTGTGTTCAATGGACTGCACGAGGGTTCGAACTCCAAACTCTTGGTCTTGTTATCGGCAATGACTAGTGTAAACCATTCACACACCAGGCAGGTGCTCCTTTCCAGTTTTCCATACCAGAGAGGGTGCGCATAACATGCACTTGGGGCTGCGCGTAGGGTACGACTGGAGTCTGGAGTAAGAGAGGTGGAAGGGTGGCTTTGAGTACAGCAACCACTTTGGCAATGGGGCATTGGACGGTCTATTTATGTGGGGCAGCGATGTGTTTGGAGCTGCAGTGTGTTTTCTGCCTGGCTGTGGGGGATGCAGTGGCCCGATGCACAGTCTTGCGAGAACATGGTTGTCTCTTCTTTTCTTGTAGAAGGTTGGAGGAGAAAACCGTGCATGAAACGCTTCGAAAGCTAGTAGTTTGACTGGTCTGTATGTACTGTGGCAATATATGTAGATGGCATTGCGAGCCCCCTGCAGTGAGGTTCAGCGGCAGTGGTCAGGGCGCCACCGCGCAGCCATGCTGTGTGTATAGTGCCAGTGGTGTTTCTGGAGCTGGAGTGTGTCTTCGGCCTGGCTGTAGCGGACTTCTTTTGTTTCCCGGGGGCTGCTCTAGCATTCGAGGGTGGACAGAGGCTATAGTCTGTGGAGTCTTGTGCCTGGTGTGGGTGGATGATAGTCTGCTTTTGATTTTGATCATATAGGTGTCCTAGAGGGGAGTGGTTGGTGCCCCCCTGCAACTGGGGTTAATGTTATGACCCTGTCCAATTTCGAGATACACATCCATCGGAAAGTACAATGCCATCCAATTGCAGAAAGAAATGAATGAACTTGAGAAGAGAGAGAGGATTAGAAGAAGAAGAAGAAAGAAAGAAGAAGAAGATGATGTACACCAGCAAAAACAGATGATAAGTCTCTTCTTCTTCGCCCAACAATCTCCTCCTCCTTATCTCCCCCTTCTCTTATTCATACAAGAAATAATAATACAATGTTGAATAGCTGATCCAGAATCAATGTCCGAGTCCCCCTTCTACTGCAGGTATCACTTGAGGTCCACCATAGCCATGGCGGCCTCCCCACTCTTCACTCTCATAGGCCGAGGCTATGGCGGACTACTAGGCCTTGCCCAGATGCCCAAAGGACAACCCAAAGCAGCTATGGCTGCTCTAGCTCAGGCCGCCATGCCCAACCCTGCCTTGAAGCTTCTTGGTGTGGCTGTCCCCAGTTGGGGACCGCCTGCTGCAGCGCCCACCAAGGTGATGAAGATGGCTGCCACCATAGCCAGGTAAGTACCCCTGGCGCTCCTCCCCCTTCCTTCCTTCTTCCTCCCTCGTGTCCTTCTCCTTCCTCCCCAGCAGCGCTGCTCCAGCTTAGTGCTGCTCCAACCAGCGCTCCACCAGTGTGTCGCCAAACTTGCACACCGAAAAAGAGGCTGGACTCTCCGCCCGGCCCGAAGATATAGTGGCCTGCTTTGCCTCTTGGGCGGTGACTTCCAGGCCGCTTGGCCTCCCAAGCAACCGGTACCTCCTCCTTTTTGGAGGGAAACATCATTGCAGGCTCTGATATTGCCCGTACAGGCCCTAGACTCAGACTGGTATCCGCCTAGACCTAGCCTACACTACTGGGCCTCTAAAAATGCCACTTTGTCTTCTTTTGCTCGGCCTCCGGTACCTGCACATCTACCCCTTCCAGGTGCGGTACCGGCCTACCCGCTACTTGAGTGCTTTTCCCCGCTGCAACCCCTCAATGTCACGGCCACAGGTAAGTACCGGCCCTGAGGGCCCAACGAACGAGCAAGTGCCCTGACGGGCCACACACATACTCATGCCAACCAGCACTCAGACAGGCACGGTCACACACACACCCAAGCCAACCAACACTCAGACAGGCAGGGTCACACACACACTCAAGCCAACCAGCACTCAGACAGACATGCAGTCCAGCAAGCGTGCACACACAGACTTAGTAGCAGGCGGGAAACTCAGTAAGGCATTCAGTCTATGAGCAAAACTCAGAAATCAGCTGTGTGTTTCAGCCCATGTTTGGACGGGTTATCACATTAAGGCCAATTATAACTCAATAGCATCATGAGTTAGGAGTCTACAGACTGTTGAGAGTTCAGGGTCCTGCTGAGTCAGTGAAAGGGTCACTGAAGCGGTTTGCCTCATCCCCCCCTTTCTGTCCTTTCCTTTGCCTATCGTCCACCGTGCAGTTCTCTTTTATCCTGTATATATGCACGAAGGGTAGCATATCAGCTGATGCCCAATGCCAGCCACAGAACGGCTGGCACCGGCCATCGGCTGAGTTTTTGAAGAAATGTAAGGCGTGGCTGTCCTGTCCGTGTCCCAAGCACCCGGTAACACCTTCCACGACGTTGTTCCCAGATGTTTTTTTTTTTTTGGTTGGTTGGGGGGGGGGGGGGAGGCATTGTGGGGGTGCGAGAGCAGGGGGCGAGGGTGCTTGGAAAACTAAGGAGAGTAGCTTCAGACATGGGATGTCTCTTTTGGCGATTAGGCTGGACGAGGTGATAGGGAATAAAAAGGTGACCCTAATCACGGTCCGATCGTGACTCTCTCAAGATTGCACGGCTGAAAATTTGAATTTAAGAGTCACCCCTGCGCTGTTTCTCATGTATCGTCGATTTTAAAACTAATTATTAAACCACCACAGTTCACATGATCCTAAGTTGATGAAGCTACTTTCCAAGGATCGCGAGCCTGCGACTGCACCTTTTCAAAGTGGCCTGACGCTTTCGCTACCGGCTCAGGAGACCTGAATCGAAATGCTTTTGCCGTGTAAACGGGAAAGAGAGCATTTACGATCGTGTGAACTGCTGGTTTAAGGAGAATGTTTGTGCACAGGGAAAAATTACCCTTATCAATTGGGCTGCATGAGGTGGTAGGAGATACGAAGGTGACCCTCTTCGTCATTCGCATCTCGGTTCTCCAAAGTTTCACTGTTGAAAATTGAAAAGTAATCCTCAACGGTACCTCGTACCTAGTATGTCTGTGATTCAAAAACTACTCTCAAGGAGAGTAGCACCGGAGAGGGGGACTCTGTCTCTTGTCGGTCGACCTGCATGAGGTGATAGTGGATGTAAAGGTGGCTCTCTCTGGATTCTTTACCTGGAACCGCGGACCATCTGCATCCTTGTTCGGGGGTCTGCAATGACTCTGCATGGTAGCCATGGAAAAAACGAAAGAACTGGAAACTCTAAACCAAGGAACGAAAAGTTATTATGTACTTTTCTCCTCCATTCATTCCTCTTACCTTTCCTTCTTCCTTTCAGCTTTGCGCCCATTTGTCTGCTCCCTTGCTTTGCACCCATCTGTCCGCTCCCAGTGGCTGCGATTAACCACTGTGGGTTACCGGTGAGAGGGGAGCGGAGTGGGTAGGGAGTCGAGGAGGGGGTGGGAGCCGCGGCGGAAAGGCAGAACTGCGGCGGCGGCGAGGGTGGCGGGGTGAGGG